AACAACAACAAAAAACAACAATACACATTGTCAGAAAAACATAAAAATAACTCATAAAAACCCCATGCTGCCACGAGTTGGTGCATCTCATGTTACCTTTTGTCCGAGGGGTAGAGCTCCACTGTTATCACATCCAAGGCGTTCCACGAGGCGATGCTGATGCCACCAAACAGACACAAGAGGGCGATCATCCCTGACTCACTGTTGCCGAACATCAGAAAGAAACAGCTGATGCAAGATATGACACTGGATCCCGCTGGAGAGAAGAATGACAATCACATTAAGTCAAATAGCCTCTATGGTCATGAGCGAATTATCTGCATTGATTAGATTTACCCACCCAGCATCCTTAAACGGCCAATTTTGTCCATTAATAGAGCCGACACAATGTTGCCAGGCAACACTGCCAACGTGCCGAGGAAGTTAACAAAGTATATCATGTAGGCATTGTTGAAGTCGTCGCTGAAGTCGAGTATGCAGCCCTCCTTGTTGTGGAGAAACGTGCTGTTGACCAGTTTACAGTCAACAAACCTGTATTTGAACAAATCTGATTAAAGAGAAAGAGAAAGAGGTGTTATTGCTCAGTAATATTAAATCTATATAATAATCTATAGCTTTTGTACCCCTAACTTTTACAGTTGCTTACAGTTTTACAAAATATCAATGTTTTCTACCAGATGAGAGAAGAAATGAGTATGAATAGCTTAGAAATCAAAGCTGCTGTGCTCTTCATGGCAAAGAGTTGGGCAAAAACATTAGAAATAGAAATAGAATTATTATGAAAAGCAGGTAATTCTTATACTTTGATTGAGGAACATTCATTGTGTCCCATCCACGTCTGAAATCAAACCTACAGTATGTGCACACTGGCATAATAGATGATTAGTTTTCCTAAAACATTGAAAAAAGGGGGATTGAATTATCTCTCAGCAAAAGAAACCAGGACATTTGCAAACCACCCCACAACCAGTCCTCAGCGGCTGTTTTTAATCAAAATTCCTTAACGGCAGAGACTTAACAAAAACACAGCATCCATCACTAGAACTTCTTCAAATAAGTAACAGGAGATAAAAAATAGAAGCGGTCAGAGGAGGTTGCATTGTCTATCGAAAACCAGTTTTCCTCCAGGTTACAAGCTCTGTTACTTTATTCTCTTTTCATACTTTGCTGCCTGCAGCCGCACAAGCAGCATGATTAGATTTTCTGATGACACTGGTGAAATTGCTTCATAACCTATAACAGCTTTATTAAAGGGAGTCAGGCACAAAAGTGCTTTTGAGTGATCATAAAATTTTTAGATGCACAAATGACATAAACATAAAAGAATGTATCTTTGGCTTCGGGGATGAGAAGATACTGCTGCTGTAAAAGCTGCTGTGAGAGTGAAGATGTTTGAGATTTAAGGCTTGTTGTTAGCAGAGAAACAGCTCATAGATTTTCTCAGGCAAAATCTGACATGTTGATTTAAAGCAGAAATTAAAACCATGCAGCAAAAACAAACACCCTGGACTACAGCAATGTGTGTTAAATGATATTTCTTCTGCATGTTTGTGCACAGTTACATACTTACAGTATAAAAGATTCACGTACAAATAAGCAAAGATACGACTGTACTTGCTTTAGAAGCTGATATTCACGAACAAAAAAGAGAGACAGACCTGACACGACATACATTTTGTCATCTCAACACACACACAGGTTTGTCATGTCAAGTCTAAGAAGAGCTTTGGTTCTGATTATCCAGTTAACACATTCTTACATCTGTTTTTCTTAATCATGAAGATCTCTTTCACAGCTTACCCCATCTGTTCTCTCTCGGTTTTCCACCTTTATTTATTTATTCGGTGGGGGGGGCTTCACTGACAGCAATTATCTCTTTTTCTAGAAACTCCTCGATCACATTCACACACATAAACACATTCCCACCTGGAAGCTGCACAGTACAGCCACATCTGTGGCCACTGAGCTTCTCCGCCGGAGCGGTTGGGGTTGAGGGCCTTGCTCAAGGGCACCTCTGTTGTGGTAACGAGGGAAAGTGGTGGTAAAAAGAAAAAGTGGTGGTAACAAGCAAAAGTGGTGATAACAAGCAAAAGTGGTGGTAACGAGGGAGGAGAGAGAGCGCTGCCTTTCTTTCCCCGCCCAGATTTATCCTGCCAGTCCGGGGAATTGAACCTCGCTTCTCTAACCTTTACGTTGAAGAGGCAGTGGTAGCCAGTGCCGCCTATCTCCTCTGCCAGAAGAGTCTGGGCCAGATTTGTTTACATTGCTACGGTAACAGTTCTAAGCCAGTGTAACCCAGAGATACTAGCAACAGAGTGTTTCTATGGTTGCAGTCCTGCTGAACTCCTCCTTGTCTCTATTTTTACTTTAAGTTGCAATAAAAACAAATTAAAATTCACATTTAATCTAAAATTATTCGTGGTTTTGTTGTGCAGCTGTGTAATTATTGTAATTAAAACTAGGGCACTTTATAGCTGCACTAATGAGTATCTAATACTAACATTGGATCGAATAACTATATATAAGGTGAAAGAAGACACATATATAATTATCAACACACCCTGCTGTTTCCATCAGCTCTACAGAGCGTTTTAGTGTCTTTATACTCTGCTTTGGTTCCACAGCCCACAGATTTACTGTTTTGGCTCGCTGCGTTCATAAGTGTTGTTTCCAGATGCAGCGAGCAGATGTTTTCAACAAAAGAAGCACTGATAAACCAACTGTACGCTACATGAGGCGGACAGACAAAGTAAGCGAGTACCTGGTGAACATAGTGGAGCATTAAGCAGCTAAAGAGCCAGATATTTTGCCTCAGGAGCTAAAAGGAGAGTGATTATTAGACTAACATTTGCTTGGTGGCCAGAAACACGACTCCAAATTAATACTAATGTTGCTCCATGTCTTCTAGATGGGTGAATAGGCAACTGTTTGCAAACACAGTAAGGTTTTTACGTCTTTTTTCTCTTGACATTTTATAGACAAAATTACTCAATTTTAGACTTATCAATAATTAATCATACTGTTATAGTGATACTGACGGTCATCACTACTATCAAAACACTGGTGAAGTAATGTTAATATTTACCTGTGTTATAGAACAAACTTGCAACGAAGGTGCAGTTTCTGAAGAAGGTGTGTGTGGAGGTGATGTCCTCAAAGTAGCACTCCTCGAACACAGAGTCTTCAAACACCATGGACTTCATCTTCAAGTTGAGGAACCTGGCGAACAGGTCACAGGTTTTAGTTTTATATTGTTGTATGTTTGCCATTTGTTCTGCTATGTGGTATTAGTCTGACTTTACTGTTGATTCAGTAGCAGTCAAATGCAAACACGAGTACACCAATGACTAATACACCTCTGTCAAACTACTCTAATTGGCCCTTCCTAAGTCCTGCCCCTTTTTGCTCTGTGCTCCAATTACAGCTGAGCAAGCCCAAAACACTTGATTCACATCAATCGTCAGTTTGGATTTTGCTAACATCGACTTTCAGAACTGACGACTGATGTAGATTAGTTGGCTAGTTAGCAAACTTTTTGCTCATATTAGCTAGATAATTTAACCAGCTTCAAAATGTGGCTATCTTTTATAGACGAGCCTAGCACATAGCATATCTAAGTACAGGAAAGAATAAAGTTGACCGAGGCTTACTCAACTGTTATTGGAGCACAGAGCAAGAAGGGGCGGGACTTAGGATGCGGCTCACACAGCACTTACTTGTCATTGAAGTAGTGTCCTTCGCGATGAATTTGGTTTTCGAGGGTGAAGTTAAAAGTCACATGCTCCACTCGTTCCTTCATGAAGGTCTTTGTGCGTGATTCATATTCCTGCTTCTGGATGTATTTGATCATGTCTGGGAACCACACCGTCAGACCGTAGTAGCTGCAAGGTTTTAAGAGTCAGGACAGATGAAATAAGGCTCAAAAGTGAACGTGATTCACCACATAGCAAAGGTTTTATGAGTCTGTAGTTTACCTGAAAGACATGGTAAACCAAACAGCCATAAGCATGAAAGTCGTCCGTTTATATTCTGGGTTGAAGCAGGCGAGAATGTTATTCCGTATCTGCAACATACGAACAAGAAAACACAACTTTTGATACAGAACTATTATAACAGATGCTCTAACTTTAATCTGATGACTCTGTAATGTCTCAGTTTACATTTCTGAGCTGTAACATGCAACTTGTTGAGCTAGAATTCAATTGGAAGTAACGCAACACGACAGCAGCCAGGCTGCTCTGAAGCTACATCTTTACAGCTTCAACTTTAAGACTGAACACTTTTCAGTAAGAATTAGGCAGGTGGTGCAGCAGATTCAGAAGAAAATGGAGGGTGTAGGCGTTTAACAGAACGTAGGCTGAATGCAAATTAAAATCAGGCACAAAGCTAAAGTTTCTGCCTGGAGCAGTGGTGCTGCAACAATGTGCAACACAATGAAAGAGTAAGTTTAAACACAAGAAAGTCAAATACTAACATACAATCAACAAATAAGAACTACCAGCACAAAATGCACATTTTTTGAGTTTGTTCAATCAAGTTCAATTTTAGGAGATAAAAAACAGAGAAAATAGAAAGTCTGCACTCATAAAATCAGACATAAGTCATAATTAAAAATAATTCGTAAGGAAAAGATGGCATTTCAAACCTCTTAGCTACTCTTGGCCTCCTACGCCTCCATCCACACTGTTCATCTGCACTGATGCCAGCTCCACTGAGGCCTTTTACAGGCATGCCCCCAAGCAGTAAAATGCCTCATACTCTGGTACAATAATTGTAATACTGCATTTTTAAAGGAGCAATGACCTCAGATATGATCTCAAGGGTGTTTTATTTCACCCTTTTAAAACGTTGTTGCAGTGTTGGTTCAGAGCTGCCTGCACAACAATGAATCTTCTAGTTGTTTAAACAAAACCCCTGATTAAAGAAAGTATATACACTGTATGTGAATTATATTTTTAAAACCATATGAGTTTTCACCCCTTTTAACTTCACTCACCTGTTGGGAGAGGCTCATAATCTTCAGTCGGTAGCGCTTCCAGACTGGAGTATCGGTGCCAGTGTCCACCAACTCATCCATCTGTTTCACCGTCTTAATTGTGGTGACCTTGCATGAAAGAGACACAAATCTCTCTTTCAGGTATATTCCTCCAGCCAGATGTCAGGGATTGAACTTTGATAGTAGGTTTTTTAATTATTACAAGTGGTATTTCTGAAAAGACTTCCTGAAACTTAGACTTGTTTGACTAAAATATAAGTATAGTAGCTTTAACCATGTGTTGTTGTTTTTTTATTTTATTTAAATAGTTTTAATGCCAACAGTGAAATGTAGAAATGTGCAAGCAGCTGTTGTTTGGATCTATAAGAAGGATAACGATTTAAAAGTAGAAGGAAAACAATGTTATGTACCTAAAGAAAAGCTTTGGTTTAAACATTTCTAGTTTATGTACCTGATAGAATACTCTAGTAGAAATGGTCCAAGCTGTGTTTATTGTACTTTTTGATTACTGTGCAGCTGACACTAAAAACAGCCAGTGACCTTTGATGCGTGTCATTCCCAATCTCTGTCCTCCGTCCTTACCTGTCATCTCTCTAATGTCGGCTATCCAATAAAGGCATAAAAAGCCCAAATACCTTATTTAATAAACTACATTTGGATCCCTTCTTGTGAAGATGTTCAATTACTTTAATGGAGGTATTATTTGTGAGTTTAATATAACCATATACTCACAGAAAACACCTTCTCTGGGCATCCCTTTGCACGCATGTTAGTGTCGTGAACTTGCTTCAGAATCATCCAGCCTTCGTCATGTTTGCCATTCTGTTTGGGAGAAAAGTAAACATCTCCTGTGTTTTTTCCATGCATTTATCCCCAGTAATTTGAACATTTAGAAGAAGAAATCTGTAGTTTTATGTCAGTAATAACTCATATGAGAGTAACTATCAACAAGCACATCTGCTAACCTCTAAGTAGAAGCGTGGGCTCTCTGGCATGGCACTGAGGGCAGCGATGGCTGCAACACAAGGGAACGCACACACTAACACAAACACACGCCAGCTATGGAACTGATACGCAGAGCCCATCTGGAAACTCCATCCTGAGAAGACAAAAAAGCACGACCAACACGAAGAAATGAGCTCACATCTTAGACTTCTTTCACTTTGTCCAGTGAATGTGAGTCAAGTCAATAGCAGGTACGGTCAAAAAATATATCTTTATAAAACACAGTCTGTAATGTATTTAATTTGATGTGACACAGTATGAACTATGTTCTTATTTTTCCTCCCTCAAGGGAAGTCAGAGGTCATAACTCTGGGAAAAAATTTTCTAGCAAACAAACTTACACCTGTATGGTTTCAGCAACCGGCTCACCGTGCTGCCAAAGCTGAAGCTCAAAATTGTGTATTTACACTTTGTTTCCTGCAAAAGTATCTAAATTTAAAGGAATATTATAGGGGAAAAAAACATTTCGCTTTCTGGCGATAGAAGGTACAGTCAGCAGCCATTTAGCTTATCTTAGCACAAAGGCTTGAGACAGCTATCCTGGCTCTGTCCAAAGGTAACAAAATCCACAGACAAGTGCCTTTAAAGCTCACTTATTAAAAAAATTATATAACATTTGTTTAATACGAGCAAAAAGAGTAAAAACAACAATTCACCATTTTGCAGGAGCTTGTAACTACTTCTTGGCTATGGGCACAGTGCCTGGCACAACTGCTCTGGTATAACATGTTATTTATTGAGCTTTATCTTTGTCTGGTAGACCGATTTTGTCCCTTTTGGCCAGAGCCAGGCTAGTTTTCCCTGTCGTTATGCTAAACTAAGCTAAGATAACTGGCTATAGCCTTATATTTAATGCACAAACATATCAAGAGTGGTATCGATCTTCTCATCCAACTCCTGGCAAGGAAGCAAATAAGTGTATTCCCCAAAATGTTGAACTATTGCCTCCTTGGGGCAATATTCAGGGATAAATTACTGTACTTACCATAATGTGGGATTATAGCCCAGGCCATAGCAGATGCGTATATTCCCCCAATCATCCAGAACATGCAGAGCCAACTGAGGTGCTCGCCACGCTTTTCTTGGGACAGAAACTCAGAGTAGTAGGAAAACACGATGGGAATTGAGCCACCAATCCTGCAAAGATCAGAAACCAGCTAAGCCCAGTGTTTAAGAGCAGAGATCCAGAGATGCACACAGAGTTTAGGTTGTCAGATTAATAGCATTCTGTACATAGAAATAAGAGTAATTTTTAAATATCCTAAAGCACCACATATATCATATCACCATAACATGGTATCATATCGAGAGAGAGCTAATTACCTTAAACTCCTGCATGTAAAACTAGAGTAACTAGACCTTTTACAAGTGGATGCACCAACTCGGATCTACAACCTTTAATTTACTGCACTGCTTGTTTTGTTCAGTCACTGAAGCTTTAACATTATTTGCTTCAATTACTCCATCACCATGGTGCAAAACTAACTCACAGAAGCTCTGTGGGAAAGTGATTGATTTCACCACAAATGGATTTGAGCATCTCAATTTGTCACTTCACTAAACCAGAGAAACTGTTCAGAAAGTTTAATATATGCTGGAATACTAAAGATCTACAATTAATAGTAATAATTACCAAACTCAAAATGCTGCAGTCAGAAGTACAACATAGTTCATCTCAAGATTACAGCTTTTGGAAGATTTAGTATACTGTTTTTTTAAATAATTGTAGTTACTCATTTTTATAGCTTTAATAGCTTCCCACAATTCATGTGTGATGGTTAAAATAAGCTTTTACACTTCTTTGTATTTGTGTGTTTCCCTTGGCCCTGCTGGATTGATCTGTAGAATATCAATGAAACAACTAGATCAGGGGAAGTGGAGCAGGTTTAATATATCTATATATCTATCTATCTATCTATCTAACGTTATCTATCTATCTATATATATAAAGTATTTTTCTATTTACCCAACACCTGAGAGAAGCCGACAAAACAGAAAAGTGCTGTAGCCCTGAACGAAGGAGGAGAAGAAGGAGAAGACACTATTGATGGAGAGAGAGATGAGAAGAGACTGCCGACGGCCTATTCGGTCAGCCAGAGCCCCCCAGAGGAAAGCCCCAACCATCATCCCAAAATATACAATCAGACCTGTGGAGAGAGCAGAGCAAATTAAACTGTAACAAATATCAATAAAAAATGTCAGTGTTTACTGCAGAACTCGTTATTTACTGCTACAGATATGTCTGTCCCGTATTCTTTATTTCTGCAACACTCCTGTGAGATTATGGGCTTTGCAGGCTCATGCTTATTCGGCTGACAGCTGGCCTTTACGAGACAGGCAGACGACACTTTTTATTTTATTTCTTTATTTTTCTTGTTGTCAACAAATCATAGGAGAACTCCAAAACCGTCTCTCAGCCCCAAGCCCTTTAACAAACAGGGCACACATATATAGTCTCAGTAAGCCTAAGTAATTTCCTTAAACAGCGGGGCACTGTAGTTTTTAGTAAACTCAAACAGGATTAAATTGTTTTATTTGTTTATTATACATGTATTAATACACATTTGGTGCTTTGTCTCACTGATGTGTTTTTAATAATCGTTTTTGGACAACAATTAAGCTATGTAGCCCAGAGGAATATGCAGCAAATACTTGTTAACCGGATCAATTCATTGTTGGTTTTGGAGATTTGTTAACAATAAGATAAATATGGACAATAGACAACCTTTGAGCAACATAAAAAATTGTGACACACAAATCAGAACTTGTACAACAGAAGGAGGAGATACAGTCAACTGTAAGAGTCTTACCTAGCATGCTTTTGTTAGGTTCAGACAGGCACATATCCTTCTCAGCGCTGGGCAGGACGAACCCGACCACAAAGATCTCCACGCCATCTGCCATGAGAGCCAGCCCCAGCACAAAGTACAGGGTCCACTGGAACTTCCCGTGACCACATTCTTGTAAAATGGTCTCGTACTGTTGAGCCAGCTCTTCCTGGTCCTTCCTCCTCTCTGCCTCGGACACTCCGATATCTGTGAACTGCTGAGCACCGGCTTTCACCGAGCCCGGGCCTCCAGCCAGGCTGCCTTTGCCTGAATCAGCCCTGGGAATTCCTTGGTACTCTCCCTCGTAGATTTCATCATCCTCATCGTGACCCTCTGTAGAGTCACTGTGACCGCCCTCGTCGTCATTGGCTGCCTGGCTATCTCCACGGTAGTAGCCTCCATCCTGGCTTCCCTGCATGGGGTAGTCATCGTCATCGTCCTCTTCAAAACGGCTGTAGGAGCGCTTGCTGTACTCATCGGTCACCCGATCCACTGAACGGCCGACCTTCTTAGATGCTTGCCGCTTGACTTCTTTGGCAATGTCTTTGGCACCTTTTATGAAGGCAGTCCGGTTTTGGTAACCGTCCTCCATTTTAAAGAGGTTCGCAAGAAGAAAAAGGGGTCAAAAATTTTGTGGAGAGGGCACCTAAACGTGCTGGGACTTCAGTTTGTTCAGGATACACCTCACAGACTTGAAAAGTTGACCCCCGGCTGACTTGACCGACAACAGGCTGGGGAAAAAATGGAAATATAAATTAGCCAACATTTACTTTTTTCATAATCATTCAGGCATGTAGTTGTAGATTTCATAGAAAGATGCTTTGTTGTCAAGAGAGACATTTAATAGAAGCTTCAAAAGCAAGAGTGCACATTTCTGGTGACCCAATTGATGCATTACTCAACAGGCACCCATCGTATGGGTGCTCCGGTGCTCCATCACGTCAAATGACAACAAAGAGACACAAAACAACCACAAAGATGTAAAAAATGACTACAAAGTGGTGCAAAGTTACAATAAAGAGACACAAATCAACAATAGCGACACAAAATAATAAAGAAAATGACTACAAAGAGATACAAAATGACTAGAAACAGACACAAAATGAACAAAAACAGACACAAAATGACTGCAAAGAGAAAACAAAATGCACAAAGAGGTGCAAAATAACTACAAATAGACAAAAAATTACAGGACAATAAAAAACATTACAGAGATACAAAGAGACAAATTGACTACAAAGAGAAAGACACCAATTGACTACAAAGAGACACAAAATGACAAGATATGGAACATTTAGATACATATAGTAATATATATAGAGAGAGATAAAAAGACGTATTTATACAGGTCTATGTATAGATCTGTCCATTCAGCTGACCAGCCTTTAATGGTATGTTTACAGACACCTGTTGCATTTTCCATATATGCGCAGCATGTGTTCACTGCTGAGTCACAGATGGGCCTGAGCAGTAATTACAGGGTGAGGCATCAAGCCTTGAATAGTGAGAGTGGTTTTAATGGATGTCTCTTGGTGCAGAAATGGCCTAAATGCCTCTGTCTCAAGTTCATGGAGGAGAGCTACAGTACATGACCATGACTCAAATGTAATGTGTCTGAGATAATGCTCAACAGGATAAGACACTAGTTTGGGATAAAAGGACACCACTGTAAGGCCTTCATCATCTGTAAGGCCCTCATCATCCTGTAACATCCTTCATAACGGAACTTCATTATTTATTTTAAAGACTCACAAAATCCTGCATTAAATGTGAGTTTTTTAATAGTTTAAGCAATTGAATATCAGGTTTGACAGTAATACATAAATATATATAGATAAAGTATACTTCTTGGGTTAGTCACATAAACATTCCTTAATTGAAAAAGTGTACTATTTGCTGGAGGAGCTGTGTGCTAAATCAAATGAGGCTTGAAATTGAGAAAAGGCAGCCAGAAAACTGATGTCCATTTCACTTGTCTGCTGCAGTATCACATCTCCTTTTGAAAAAACAACATTTATAAGGCATTGACTGGCGTAGTTCACTGACAATACCCACATCCATATGGTTTTGTATTAAGACACTGTGTGCCCCGGGTCATTGTGCAATAAAACAACATGTCACTTTGATTTTGTGATGCAGTGAAACAACAGACACAGAATGAGAGACATCACCGCAGCGCTCACGTTTACCCCTGTTTCAAAAATGAGGTCTGACAGGTAATAACGGGGCTGACAGAGCTTTAGATGTCTGGTATACAGTATAAAGGTCCAGACACAGGATTTTAGAAATACTGAGGTCAGGGGTCAGAATCTGCTGTATCAAATTTAATGTTTTTTGTCTTCTTCATTCATTTTATGTAAATTGTATCCCCCTACATGATGGTCTAAATGCTACTTCAAAGACTACTCCACACTCCCATGATTAAATTCTAATAGTGAAATATTAAATACCTTCATTATGTTTTTATTCATTTTAATATCCTGTCATATACAAATAATATTTTGGCTATTATTAAAAAACAAATAACATCTACTGCCAGTGTTTGGTTTTTCCATTCTGGCTCCATTAAAAAGGCAATCTGCTCCCTCTGTAGATAAAAACGGCTCATTTTTAAGATAATGAAAACACATTTCCTGTAGTCAGGTGATCATACACTAATGAAAACATATCGATGAATATTATATTCCATTTCTGCCAATAGATCCTCCTAAATGTTACACACTGGATCATTAAAACCTACCATGTGCAACCACAGAAGAACTAAACTGCTCTTTAGGTTGTTTAAATCCCCAAATTAACCTAAGCAAATGCTGAGTATATGAGAACCACGCTGATAGCTACAATCGTCAATATCCTGTATATCTTTGATTCACACAGGTGAATACTAGCTATGTTTAAAAATGGTTTTGTATTCAAAGTTATCTAAAATATACAGTATACTCAAGCCAGATCAGTATCCTCATTAGAGCACAATACACATTTGATTTATGTTTAATTTAATTCAAACATCTACTCCAGTCATGAGGGCACAGAGCCTTCGCTGTCAGCATGACGAGCAGATTTACTGGCACTGATCAAAGGCACCCCACAGACCTGGTCAGCCAGGCTAAACTGTAGGACACTAACCTAATAATATCTTGGAGTCAAGTCACACAGGCCTGTGATCACGATCCCTTATGAACATAAGAACACAAACCACAAACAACAAGACAGGAGTGCTTTTTTTTTAAAAGCCCCTGCAGACAGAGTGTCTAGCTGCACAGGGGTTTTCAGGTGTCATGGCTAACTGGGACAATAACATAGAACACAGTCATCATTAATAACATCAGCGCTTTTCCTACTATGACAAGTCAAAGTGTCTGCTGTTAAAAAAAAGACCTAGATTGTTGAAATAACCTACGTCTTTATGGCTTTTTTTAAAACCATTTTTGGGTTAGTTTGGTACGATAGGCCCCTTTTTCACAGCAGACATTTTGACTTGTCACCGAAGAAGAAGCACAGGTGTTACTAATGTCGTTAACGATGGCTCTGTTCGCCAAGACGGCGTGACAGTGAGCCTATTTTAACATGCCAAAATGTGTCTGCACAGTACAGAAAGCAAAGCTCCATCTCCATGTTCATTTCAGAGGATTAAATACTGGTAAAATAATTAGTCTCTGTAGGTGTATTATAGAACTAAACCTCAATAAAAACCAACAGATAGACAGATAGACAGATAGATCGATAGATAGATAGATAGATAGATAGATTCATCTTTCATGCAACAGGTAAGCTACAAATTCACTCCTTTAATCCTGTTTTTTTCTCTTTTTCACTAAGAATTGTAAAAGCAAACACAACACAACGGCTCTAAACCCACTTTCTTTAACATCTTCCATGTTGTCAAGTTGACAGCATCTCTACAACCCCATGCAGCCCGCAACACAGAGCCCTTCTCAGTGGAAAAGAGCAGGCAAGAGAATGGGGGGGGTATTATTGCTCCCCTGGTTGGAGCAAACCCTTTTATTATTTATTTTGTTTGTCTTTTTTTTCCTCCCCCCATTCAAAAATCAATCAGCTCACCACTTCCTTGCAAGGGCCAATCAGGGCAGATCAGCAGCCATCACATCATCACAGGCACGCTAGATTATTATAGCAGTGGGAGATCAGTCGTGAAGTGTCGTGATGAAAAATCTGGACACCTGAAGATAACATTAACGACATTATCTTCCTGCAGGCCTACAATGTTATAATATTTGTGCTGTGGTGTTTCAGTTTCTTGCACGGTTGCTATATTCCAGCAATTGACCAAAAAAAAAAAAGAAGCAGATTTAAGCCTCCAGTCCAGCTGTAACCATCTTCATTGATGTTAAGAAGAAAGAAAAAAAAGGCCTAGTCGCTAACAGGCCAATTTCCACAGCTCACAAATATACGGCCGGATTAAAATATAAATGTGTCACAAATAGCAGCAGGATTGTCTGCTCGCCTGAATCCTGACATCTGCGCTCATTCTTAGAAATCACACAGTGGCAGCAGCTCGTCACGACTTGGATTAGATTATAGATAGGCCCGATTCACAAAATCGATCTTAATTGCTGTGTGAAGCAAACGGTTGGAGAACACGCCCCATCGTCTCTTCCTCATGATGTCTCAATGCATTAAATACAATAATAAAACATACCGCTTACAAGACGCCATCAGCCGCAAACAGTTAATTATTATTCACCTTTTTTTATCCCTGCGACGCGGTCCCTCTTCTTCGTCTTCTTCAGCCCCGCTGGAGATGGTGGTGATGAGGAGGATGAGGAGGAGGATGAGGATGATGGTGCGTACGAGGCTGTTGCTGTGAACCGAGTGGTGATGATGCTGCGCGGTCCGGAGGAGGAGAGAGAAGCCCACACCATCCACGCACACTCACTGATGTGCAGGGGTCCCCTCCCCCACGCAAGAGGAGAAAAAAAAAACCTCACGAGCGCACGAGCACTTTAACGCCTTCGTATCTGGAGGGGTTTTTTGGCGCATATCTGCACACAATCTGCGCTCATTTTCCTCCTTGACACGGGCTGGTGCGCCTTTTACACTGCGATTTACGCTTCTTTACCCGATCTTAAGGCTAACTACAGCTCTGTGCGTAAAACTCATGTTAAACACGCACTGGATGTGGAGATCCTCGCACGCACACACTCATTCCCACCCCCCACTTGCGTTTTTTTTTTTTTTACAAATAGATTGTACACATGATTATCAAATTATATGCACAGACAACACACGTGCAAGTGCACCTGACTCCTGTTGTCATGCCAACCACTTGCCATATTCTTGATCCCTTCTGCTGCATCAAGACCCGCTATGAAGAAACGTGAGCTCTCCTCGCGGACAGTGTGATGTCATAATCACCCGTGCCATTCAGATAAAAAAAAATCTCTGGACATAAGGGATATTATTTTAGCTCTTTTGTATTTGTCATGTACATTCAGGCTGTGTGGTAGTCTAAGTGTGCAAGAGAGTCTCAGCTCAGGGATATTAGGTAGAAACTGTAAGGATGAGGTACTGTGAAACTTTACCAGGGGTTTCTAAACAGAAGAAATGGCATTTGTACACAGTGTATTGCAGACTGTGTGGGAAAACAGCAGGTTATGTTGTTATATTACATCATGAGAGGGAGGAAATAGTCGGAATTTTGAACAATTGTTTGTACCGCTCCATTTTAGGGGGGCACTGTGTCACAAAGACAGGAGAAAACAAACCCACAGTCCCTGCTGTCATCTTAAGTCCTGTAGTAGTAAAAGATATGGTGTAAAAATACGAGTAACAGTCTGGCATTCATGTTAGTGTAGCAGGCATTAAAATATATTCTTAAAATATATAAAGTACTGATGCAGAACCGCTCATTTCAGAATATGTTATAATGTAGGATTACTACTCTATTAACACCCAAGCACCATTTTAATGTTGTATCCAATCTAGTTCTGACTGTAAAGCTGAATAAGAATTGCAGAAATATTTCTAATCTTCAGAGCTTGATTACTTAATTAAAAAAGCACAGATGGAAACTGAGGCTCCAAAGGGAAATAAACATTGCAAAAATTGTACTAAAAAATTTTATTTGTCAAAGGTTTCATCTGTACAATGGCCACAAAAACAAACAGGTGGTTAAATTATTCTCACTATTACAAACTTGAGTAGATCTTAAGATGTTTATTTTAAAAAAAGAAGCTAAACGAGAGCTTGTTTCTTGGATTACGGTGGCATTGGTGCTCTCATAGGAACGCGGGGCGGGACACCGGGGGGGCGTGGAGGCATTGGAGGTCCTCTCTGGAAGCCAAAAGGAGGAGGACGAGGAGCACCGTAGCCCGGTGGAGGCATGGGAGGAGGCCCTCTCATACCTGGAGGCACAGGTGGACCTGTAAGGGAGAAATTAAGACCAAAACCATTATTTCAATAATAACACATTATACATTTCAGCATTTTAGTAGTATTGATCAGGTGAAGAGACATTTATTTGACCCCAAAGATCCGGGGAGATTGCCACGGTGCTTACCCATATGTCCATACGGTGCTCTGGGTGGCATTCCCATAGGTGGGGGTGGGGGCATGCCAGGGGGTGGTGGTGCCCGTGACTGATTTGATCCCGGGGGAGCGGGAGGTGGAGGCACCATGCCAGGAGGAGCAGGAGGGGGCATGGGCATCTGAGGCATACCTGTGAAACACAAACAGTTTAGTATGCAGGCACTCGCTCGAGCAAGCAGCTACACTCGTGTACTGCGGCGTCTGACAATGTTTCTAGGAAAACCAAAGAATTTCAATGAAAATGTACATTCGAACCAACAGAACCCACTGCAACAGTCATTTATGGTCAACACTGCCAGACAATGAGGTGTGAATAATAAAGTTATGGTGTATCACGGTATGCATGACTGGGCCTTTATATAGGTTTATAGTGGCTTATTATACTGTCAGTGGTACATAAAATATAAAAACTTTGTATGTGTGTGCAGAATGTAAACATGTTTTATTGTGCAAACTGCAGCACAATAAAAACAGAACTTAAAAAAAGATATGCCAACTTAAGACATTGCTCTCAAAATATATAAAAACACTATATAATACACATTATAAAGAGACATAAAATAGTCAGAGAGATATTTTCTCGAGTGTTCTATTGTCAGTGTATGTTTGCATGACTTCCCTCTTGCAGCCACAGTGGAAACATTTTAATGTTTAACAAACTAGTACCTGGATGCATGCTGCCAGGAGGGAAGGGTGGTGGTCCAGGTGGTGGCCCGCCGCCGCCACCCTGTTGGCCTGGTGCTCCTGCGTTTGGAGGCATGTTCATTGAAGGGGGCATTGATGGTGGCATCGATCCAGGAGGAGGAACGGGAGGGAAACCAGGGGGTGGCATGCCTGCACACAAACAAGTTGTATTAACAAGTTATCGTTTCCATTTTCTACTAGTACACAAAGCCAGGCTGCCTGTTAAATATTCTTGTCATCTTGGCCACTGTTATAATTTTAAACTGCATTAGTATCTCACAATAGGAGCTCATTTGTCAGCTGCCACATTCACTTTTAGTTAAAGACATCGCCCAAGTTTAAATTAAATTGGTCTTGTTATCACTTGCTGATAAAAGCTGCATCAGTCAGAGCAGCACACTTACATTATTGCAGGATTCTACTTAATCCCCTTACCAGTAATTAAACTGATTATCTACCCCCATACACTCACCACTACATTCAACTACTCAATCTATAACCTTTAATCAGAGGCAGCTGCTGTATATGACAAGATAAACAGACATACACCACTGATTACAGCTTTAACAAACAAAAACCTCAAAAGGAAGCTGCATTATATGTGGAGTAGGAATATAAAGATATGAGACATTTGAGGATGTGAGGATTCAAATCGGTGACATGAAAAGTTAATCTTGATATTAGTATCAAGGCCCAGAGATATCAGTTTCGGACGCCCGGTTAGCTCAGTGGGTAGATATAGAGCTGGCAACCCATGTACGGAGTTGCTGCAGCGGCCCGGGTTCAAATCACTTCACAACAGATAACATGCATTGTTTATACCCTAAAAATGTAAGAGAAAATATATTTGTACATAAAGGAATAATTTCGTTTCTCTTTAACCTCATTTTGTTTGTTTTTTTAAATCAGGAGAAACTCGTATCATGAATTATTTTGAGTCATTTGATCAATATTTGAGTTTGAAACTACAATTTTCACATTTTATAGTGAATCAGGTATGGACGACTCGTGTCAGAGCATTCAGGTATACACTGTGCCATACTGTGTTCTCTGTAAACATGTGACCTGAAGTCATTATCTATTAAGTTCCCATTACTGCTATCTTTCCATGTCTGCTGATGAATAGTGGTTCAAATGTTACACTGCAACCGAGCTTAAACAATACACTATTGAAAAGAAGAGAGCCGCAGAACATCCCACATGTTTTAACATCTACACACAGTATTTCTGGTCATACCTGGCATGGGCATCCCAGATCCCATTGCAGTTAGGACCGGTGTGGGGGCACTCGGTGGGGGCGGAGCGTCTGCGAACAGCTGATGTGGCCGGTCTGCCTGGGAGAGAGGGTTTTGTGCAGCCAGTAGTCGCTCTGCAGCTGAACCGTGTCGCTCTCCTTTGGAATCCTTCTTGAAGGCGTAGGACACTGTGATGGGCCTGTTACAGAGGTACTGGCCGTTCATGGCCTCAATGGCAGCGTCTGATGCGTCGAAGCTTGCGAAATTGATGAAAGCATAACCCTTGGAGTTGCCTGTGTCTGGGTCTCGCATGATCTTTGGCGTCTGGAGGATCACGCCAAAGGCACTGAATGTGTCGTAGAGCAGTTTCTCATCGATCTCCGGGTCCAGATTACCGATGAAGATGTTAGCACCCACGTCCAGGTTTTTGTTGTGCGCAGAGGCCTTATTAACTCGAATTGGTTTGCCATAGAGCTTAATCATATTCATGATTTTGATGGCGTAGTCAGCATCCTCTTCACTAAGGAACTCCACAAAGCCATAACCTGAGAAGGGGGTTAAAAAAAATTAGCTCCATGGTTGTTATTGCGAAAATGTTTTTTCTCACGTCACAGACATGTTGCTACCTTGGTTATCACAATTTTAGGCAATATTAGCCAATTCTCACCTTGGTGTTGGCCAGTGACCCTGTCTTTGGGCATGTGTGTATTGACCACAGGACCAGCCTGCAGGAAAAGCTCCCATAGTAACGGCTCTGACACCTTTTCATCCAGGCCACCGACATACACAGTGGCGTCTGAAAAATGAATAAGAAAGAATTAGAAATGAACTCGATACGGAAATCTTAGACGTCCAAATTAGTGCAAATTTTACATGGATTTGGCTTATGTCAAAATACAAGGCAATGGAGATGCTTATTGTCTGGCTGTAGCTAATTTATCTTGTAAAAATACCAAATAACTTCTTTTTACGGGGTTCTCAAATGTTATATGTTGCTTTACTGCAAACTAGCTGGTTATGACTGTAAGGACAACGTTTTAACTATTCGGTAAGGATAGTTCAAAACCCCTATTAAGATTAAAGCTGGAGGATATGGCACCAATTTATATAAAATATCAATACAACAATACTAAATCCGTAAACTTAAGACATTTTAATATGATTTTGTTTTTCTAAAAGGCCATAAGGTTGGTAATAATAAAGCTAGATAGTTCTTAGTGAAGTGAACAGTCATAAGTTAGTTAAACTACCTTTTCATTACAACCATGATAATGATATTTTCTACAGACCACACGGTCTCTCTAGTTTATCCAAAGCTGTGTTAAAGCAGCCGAAAAACGTGCACAAAGAGAAACAAAGAGAAACAAAGAGGGATCCTTGGTTTTTGGTCAACACGGTCGACGACTTGTGCCAGACTACTCTCTGGTAGCTTGCTGAGCTAACGTTAGCTGTTAGCCAACAGGACGAACCTCCGCGTTTAATAAACAAACAACAATAAACAAACAACAGCAGACACATTTCAAATGAATCACAAAGCAAAGCTACACGTTAGTTCTACTGTAGCAAACAGGTAAAATAACTTACAGTAGAGAGACTTTAATTGAATGGTCAATCTAAAGTAGCAGCAAGTCAAGCTAACCACTGAACACTTCCATGTGATCGGTTGTTTACCTCAAACTATTAGCTAACCACACGGCTCATACACACAAAGGCGAGCGGTTTCAAGTGTAAACCACAGGCAGTTTTATACATTACTCAACAAAGGCTGAATAGTTCGTATAATGATGCATTTACCTTGGTTCCTTTCTGAAATTGGTCCCGCTGCCATGTTGAATGAACAACGCAGGGCGAGCGTCCTGAACAGAGGCCCCGCCTCTTCCTGTCTGTGTGCCGGGGCCGGAAGTCGTCAAATAACATAACATGAAATAAAATGCAATAACATAACATAACATAACATAACATAACATAACATAACATAACATAACATAACATAATAAACATAATAACATAAAATAGAAAACAATAAAATAACATAAAATGAAATAAAATGCAATAACATAA